CCCCAAAACCCCAAAACCCCAAAACCCCAAAACCCCAAAACCCCTATTTTGTTTTGATAAGTTGAACCAATAGAATCAATGAATAGTATCCCTATGATCACAAATCCTTTATTTGTAGTTTCTAAGATACTCTTGTCGTTGGATATACTAAAGGAAAAAGAGATGATATGCAAGAATAGTCAAGATCAATTAAGTATTATCGTCTTTATTCCTTCCAGAAGTTAACCATATCTTGGGCTACAAGACAACTTTCTCTTACGATAGCTTCATCATCCTTAGAGTATTTTTCCATTACCTCTGTTTTATCTGTGATATCTCCAAGAGCAATTACACATTCATGCCTAACGACACCTGCTTCCTTTTCGTTCTCAACTGCTTTAATAAGATATGGAACACTGATCTTTGAGAATGAATGACCCATTTGACCGAGAACAAATCCGATCTCGTGCTTGAGTAATGCAGAGCAATTCTCTGAATTCTCCTCAGTTAAGGTCATTCAAAGAGCCTCACATGATTCTTCTGTTGCAATTTCTCTAAGAGTGAACATTGCTCTATAACGTTCAAAAATAGGCTGTTCTGGATCTAAGAGTAACTTTTTAAGGAATTCAACATCCTTATACTCCTCCTTACTTTCGGTATTATATGGAGGAGCTGGGTCGTTAGTTGAATGCTTCAGAGCTTTAAGGTCAAGTCCTTCAGTTTCTCCCATTTTAGTCTCTTCTTGCCATTTAGCAAGATCTAAGGCTAAATCACAAGTCTCTTTAACGAGTGAATCATCTGCATCTTTAAACTTCTCGAGAAGTGTCTGAATATTGTCTGAATTCAGGTTTGCATAACCTTCGACTGCTTCATGAATGACAATGCTAGAGTGATCCTCATTGATAACTTTTTCAAGAAATTCTTCAATGGCTTTGGTGTTCTCCTCATTATCGTTCATCTGTCCTAAACAATAGCAGATCTCGTGCTTGAGGAGGTCAGAGTCTTTCTCCGCTCTGAAAGCTTCAATCAAAACATTGATTGCTTCAAGAGTCTTGATTCCTCTGATCTCGAACAAAGCTCTGAATCTTTTGGTGATTTCGTTCTCAGTGTTTGTGATAATTTCGGCTTGTGTCTTAAGCTCTAAATAAGGAATTAATACAAATTAGTCTTGTTGAGAAGCATACCTTCTGACATGATAAAATATAATTAGTATCAATAGGACACGCTAAAAATGGGGTTTTGGGGTTTTGGGGTTTTGGGGTTTTGGGGTTTTGGGGTTTTGGGG